GGGATTTGGTTTGGTGTGGCGATGTGCGAGAGAGAGACGTGGATGAGTTACGAAACAAAAGATGATATTTTTAATTTATTTTGTACAAACCTTACTTACAAAGGGAGGAGGTTCACATTCCTTTTGTCTGCTTACACCACGTGTTATATCAAACCTCACATGCACCAACTTGGATTCTTTCTTTTTTTTTTCTTTTTTTTTTTCATTTTTTAACAGTTGAGAACACCTAAAGGCGATTCGGCATTATAAGGTTTACTTTTAGATTAAGGTTGTTCATACCATTTTAATAACAAATAGTCATTAAAAATTGCCCCCACAAACCAAAATGTCTACTTCCATAACTACTCCTCCTTTCATAAAATATGTGAAATCTATTTGATTTGACTACGACAACAACTAGCTCAAACCAGTTTATGCCTACAAATTGTGTGAACAAGAAAGAAGATGGGCATATGTCGTATACACAAATAGAGGACTGTCTTTGAACATTGAATAGGTTCAAATGATTTTGTGTTTGTAGATCGTCAAAAAAGGCAACTAAGCCAGCACCGTGGTGCCCTCAAATCATGCATATCCAACTAGTGTAAGCGCCATAATTTCCTCCCTTCTCATCAGCAAACACAGCCCGGCATGTCTACAATTTTTTTGCCTACGTATTATATACTTCCACACGTCACAAGTAGATTGGATTTATTTTATCAATTCTCATAAATGATACATGAAGGTTCAGCGCTATTGTTCTTCTTCTTCTTCAGAGTTTAGATTCAATGTTTGTTTATGTTGGTCCTTATCATCGATTATATTGTTATGATTGTGTGTTTGGACAAACTCATACGTATTTTAACCAATCTCATGAGCCTATTATATTAATTGTCAGAAATATATAGGATATTAAATCTTAGGTCGGTACATACAATGGGGTGAATTCATTTTATTTAACCTTTTTATGCTTTTTCCTAACCCATGGTCCTCACTAGGTTAACCCATCATTAGATAGATAGGCACTAGGGAGTCAACTCTTTTATTTTTTTCACAACCATAGTTAATCACTTGGTTAACCCAGGATGGTTATTGTAAAAAAATTATAGAAAACAAGCACAAAAAACTAAACAGGGCATTGTGTGACTTCCGGACACATTAAAACCACCTGTGGAAAAATAGTTTGGAAAAGTCGAAATCAATGAAAAACATAAATTAAAATATTTAAAGTAAGTTAGAGACAAAAATAATAACAAAAGATGGAGAGAAAGGGTTCATGATTTTTTGTCATGTCATATATGTAGTAGTGTCTTAAGTTAGAGATTAAACCTAAGATTTGACATAGAATATTCTATTAGAAACCTAGAATATTCGGTTAGGAATTTAGAATATTCGGTTAGAAACCATGATTCTAAACAATGATATGATATTATTCACTTTAAACCTAAGTTCTCTTAGTTTTGCTTTTGGTTTATCTATAATACTTCATATCAATAGAGATACATTGCATACTTATAAACTCATGTTCGTCTCTTGATTAATAAATGTAGGATTCTCTCTCAACAATCCTCAACGTATTCAAATTCGATGAAAGAGCTGAAATAAGAAAATTAATGACCCACCAGACCATATACTATTGCTACGGAATGAAACTATCAGGTAATAACTCTTCAAAAGATTAATTAAAAACTTATCATTTTAACTCAAATAAAAGTAAAAGTAAAAAAAAAGTAGATATATAAATGAATTAAAAAAAAAAAAAAAAAAAAAAAAAAAAAAAAAAAAAAAAAAAAAAAAAAAAAAAA